GCGTCCACTACACACTTTTGATAAAAAGTATATAGTGGAATTACCCGCCAGAGAAGACTGGCTGAATGGCCAGGTTATCTGTGAGGTCGGTAGCCTCATATGGTATACCGATGGGTTTAAAATGGGCCTCGACGTAGGCTTTGGAATTTACGGGGAACGCCCCAAATTCAAACTTAGTATGAATTTGGGTAGATACACCTCTATCTTTCCGGCAGAAATTTTCGCCATACTTCGGTGTGCGGAAATCAATCTGCAAAAACACTACGTCAACTATAAAATTTACATAAACTCTGATAATCAAGCAGCACTGCTAGCGCTGAGATCAAACTTAGTGAACTCAAAGTTTCGCGGTCGTTTTAAGATGGGTTCCGGGTCACGAGGGTATTGTAGGCAACGAATTTGCCGACAAACTTGCACGGAAGGGCTCAAAGTGCACACAATTTGGACCCGAGCCATTTTGTGGAATCTCAAGAAGCCTAGCCCGATTGACCCTTGAAACTCTTTATCACAATAAATCACTTAAGATCTGGTCTGACACACCAGGCTGAAAACATTCTAAAAACTTAATCCGGTCCTTTGATCGTAAATTCGCTTCATAAGCCCTGGGATTAAGTAAAAATAAATTGCTCATTCTGGCAAGAGCCCTAACTGGACACTGTTGTCATAAAAAGCACATGTCCATCCTGGGACTAAGCAACTCAAGGATGTGTCGGTTCTGTTCCATAACGGAAGAAACGCCTCTACATATCCTAATCGATTGCGAACCCTTAATGCGCAAACGTAACACTCATCTGGGACACTATCTTCTACGCCCAGAAGAAGTGAAATTGCTCACGGCTAAGCAACTCCTTCGATTCATTGGAGACATAGGGCTTAGCAGTGAACTATAACCATAGCAGCGATCACAATAGATCTTTTAGGTCGCAGTGATACTGATCTCTTTACCTAGACCTGCATAGCTGCTTGCATATAATAAAAAAATGGGCTAAAGTATGCCACACCTGCCAGACTTCAAAAATTACCCAACACGTGTCATCTCCGCTACATACATTACGAACTACCTCGTGCCCGGTTACAACATATTCACGTAGACATAATTGGACCTCTTCCACCATCAGAAGGTTTTCGGTACTGTCTGACAGCGGTAGATAGTTTCACACGGTGGCCAGAAGCAATCACTTTAATATACATAACTGCGGAATCCGTTGCAAAGGCCCTGCTACTAGGTTGGATTTGGCGATTTGGATGTCCTGTGGAAATAACAACTGATCGGGGAAGGCAGTTCGAATCATCGCTGTTCAAATATCTTTCAGATTCAGTAGGTTTCAACAACTGCTTATCACCCTGGATGTAACGGAATTGTTGAAAGAATGCACAGGCAGTTAAAATCAGCCATAGCTTGTCACACCAACCAACACTGGTCTGAAAATTTGCCGCTAGTACTATTAGGTATGAGAAGTGCTTTAAAGGAAGATCTACAAGCATCGCCGGCAGACTTAGTTTATGGTGAACCGTTAAGACTACCGGGAGAATTTTTATATCCTTCCTCAACAACAACCACCGATGTGACAGATTTCACTGCGCGACTACGTTATAATATGGAAAATATACGTCCATTGCCAGCGTCAAGGCACTGTAAATCCAAGGCCTTTGTTTTCAAAGAGTTGCCAACAGCTACGCATGTATATCTGAGAGATGAAACGAAATCGCGAGCATTTCAACCATCTTATTTAGGGTCATACGAAGTCATGCAAAGAAATGATAAAGTTTATAAACTTCTAATTAGAGGTAATGAAGTCACAGTTTCCATAAATGGGTTAAAACCAGCCTACACAATCCAAGAAAACACTGTCCTCCCAGTTCCTATCAAATTGCAGCCGCCTAAAAGTAAAGAAGCCACAAGCATTAAAAAAACACGTTCGGGACGAATTGTGAGATTGCCAGATTACTATCGCTCGTTGTGAGACGGTCAATGATGTGGCGTAGCCACATAAATATATGTCAAAAATTAAAAATATAGTTCTAACTGACAACTGTCATAAGCGCTAATCACTTCGTTTTCTTAAAAATAAAATGTAGCTGCTAAATCCTATACCTTTAAACGAGCAATTCTTGTATATATATATATATATATATATATATATATATATATATATATATATATATATATATATATATATATAATCGGAATCTCGGAAACGGCTCCAACGATTTTCATAAAATTTTGTCTGCAGGGAGTTTCGGGGGCAATAAATCGATCTAGCTAGGATTTATTTTTAGAAAATGTCTTTTCGTCCGTGTTTTTAGGCAATGAAAAACTGCTACAATATCGTTAGAATAAGAAGGTAAATTTTGACGGTTTATTAATGATTGCAAATAGCTTAATTGGTATATTGGGCGGTCACAAAATCGTAATACCATGGTTCGAGCCCAGACCGACCGACCGACTTTTTTTTAATTTTTTTTTCAAGTTCCTTTCTTTTTTGAGAAAATCTATTTTTTTCGAGCCCTTTTTTTAGTATTTTTTAAAAACACGAAAATTTAAATTAAACTAATTGCACTCATGATTTTTTATTCAAATAACCAGTTCAGTTTTTTCTATTATGTCGCTAAGATCAAAAAATATTATTCGTATTTCATCAGTATGTAATTTGTATCTAAATATAATATCCAAAACACACGAATTAAAAAAACCGAGCGAAAAATACCGAGCAAACCTCGGTCAACCGGGTACTGAGTATTAAAGCCTAAATTCTTACAAAGTTGTGTTAACCTTCTGTTTAAAAATTTGCGTGTTGTTATAAACTGTATGAATGAACTTTAAAAGCGTTTGTATTCTGTCCGAAATCTGTGTATTCTTTATCTTGTTATTTTTAATTTATGAACATTTATTATTATAATAAACAAACTCTAATTTATGTATATTGTGAGTTGTGGAGCGGTATTCAAGGGAAATAAACATTGTAACAGTTTTTATCACCAATTTCACTACATATTATATTGAAATTTATAACGAATTTTATAGAAAATAAATGTACGACAAATTCAGGGTTAGGTTATTTTTACGACGCCGCGTCGCGCAAAGCGAGCTAGCGGTGTCAATCATTTTAGCTGTGGACTGAGGGGTTAAATGACTTACTTGATTCTACTTATACCTTTTACTCTTTTGCTAATAACTTAACTGACCGAATATTTTCCAATAAAATTATTAACTGATGCTGTCGAAAGAAGCATTATAAATCAAATATTCTCGAAACGTTGAAAACGTTTGACAAACTTTCAAAGCTGAAACCATTATTTTTAGGCCACATTTGATTCGTGAGGTTTTCAATCAGATAAAAAAGCAAATCTTGGTGGCCTAGGTACTAAGTACTTACACTGAGATATGGATCACATTTGTTGTAAGACAAAACAGCTATATGTATAATAAAAAGTCTTATTTGTTTTTGAATTCACACAAAATTTGAGTTGGAACGGTAAAATATAATTTTATGGCTACTTTAAACTAAAAATGCATAAATTTCCTTAAGATTTTTTTTGTGACCAAAATACTGCAGCAATATTTTTGTTTTATCAAATAGCGGCTCTGAACTGACCAGACAAATATCCCAATGCATGTGGCGGGACTTACGCAACTTTAATACAGCTGGTATTGAAGAAGAGATCTAGCGGAACCAGGGCTTCAAAGTCTTTGCCAGAGATCTGACTGTCAGAAAAAGCCTATGGGTAGCTGTACACGTGATCGTTGGAGCCACACGCAAGTTTGAGTAACGGTGCCAGAACATGTCTTATCCGACACTATTCCAATGATACCCTGGACGTTAGTCTGAGCGAGATTAGAAGGGCTCTCCAGTTCCTTAAAATTTCAATTCCGTCCTCCATGGTGGAACTACTCTGAAGGCGTGAAACAGAAGTGCAGTAGTCTTGTTCTTCATGAAAGGCGACAACGTTCTCTTGAACTTGAACAGACCGATTTCCCTTCCGAGCCGCGTCTATGTGCTGGTTTCTAGAGTCATAACGAATTCTCTCGCGTGCAGGCTCGACGACTTCCAACCTCCCGAACAAGCCGGTTTCCACATGCATATCTGTCAGCAAATTGTACAGAAGTTCTTAAACTTTTTTTTGTGAACAAAAAACTGCCGCAATATTTTTGTTTTATCAAATACTGGCTCTGAACTGACCAGACAAATATCCAAATGCATGCGGCGAGACTTACGCAAGTTTAATACAGTGTTGTATCGTATTGAAGAAGAGATCGAGCATAACCAGGGCTCCAAAGTCTTTGCCATAGATCTGACTGTCAGAAAAAGCCAACTGACCTTCTGACACCTGAAATTCTGAGTGTGATTGAGACTTCTATGGGTAGTGACACGTGATCGTTGGAGCCACACGCAAGTTTGAGTAACGGTGCCAGAGCAAGTCTTATCCGACACTATTGCGATGATACCCTGGACGTTAGTCTGAGCGAGATTAGAAGGGCTCTCCAGTACCTTAAAACTTCAATTCCGTCCTCCATGGTGGAACTACATGCTCGGCGGTGAATGAAAACATCGTAAGGAAACCTTTATGTCTAAGAAATTAGACATGTGATGATCGTCAACACGTATTGGGACAGCGCGGCGGATATTTCCTTGCCCGAAAACCCTCTCAGAAGTGGAGAGCAGGCCTGTGCCCAACAGTGGGACGTATGTATACTGTAACTTTAAATTTAACGCGAATCTTAGCTAATTAATTTTTGACATTTTTAATATATTGGGTTTCCGAAATACATTTTTATTTTTACAATATTAAATTTGCGTTATATTATCCTATCATCTAAATAATAATGACAATAGAACGCAATACTACACTAGAAATACTTGTAATTGTGACCTTTTACCGTTAATCCCCTCTCTGAACTTCTTTGTAACACAGCTTAGCATAGGATATTTAAATAACTTACTCGGAAACGTACATTTAACTAAGTCGGATTAAGTTAGAATTGAATTATAAATTTTCAGTTCAGGTTAGCGATGAAAATACATGCCACGGCCGTGGCCTGTGCTCCCCGATGTTCGGATGATGGAACACCGCTGCCAACCTTCAAACATTACGTTTACTTCCTGTTTGCACCCACATTAATGTATAGAGATAAATATCCAAGGTATGTAGTAAATTTATGAAAAAAATTCGCAATGATACAAATAGTGGTATAGCCACGTGGCAGCTTTTGCTGTCGCACAGATGGACCGAGTCGAACCGGAGTGGTATCAACCGGAGTGAACTCACAGAATTCCAGCGTGAAGTAGTAGTTTACTTTTGCTTCACGATGTTACTCTGTGAGGTCGGGGGGGGGGAGCAATAAGACATAGGTGGCCCCTGCAAACCTATCCTTGAATTTTTGCAAAATCAGTAGAATTTCATCAATATCATTCAAACTTTAACAACGTCCATTACCATCTAGACACAGCAAAGCCGGCCTTGCCCTTTCGAAGCGAGACACCGACGTCCTCTCCAGCTTATATTTCGTATCTCTCCTACCCGGCGTACAAATTAGAACACTCCTTTATACTTAATCATTTCTTATACTTACGCTAGTTTTTACAGATTTTAGCGCGTATATTTTTTTATATTCCCGACGTTTTGAGCACTTTACAGCACCCATGGTCACGGGGGAACTAAGGTTTTCAACGTCAGTCCTACAGATTAAAATTTGGATATGAAAAATTGGATGGAGACAAAAATTAACAATTCTAATCTGTGGGATTAACCGCGGTTAACTATGACACCTGGATGTTGAACAACCTCAGGCCCCTCGTGACAATGGGTGCTAAAGTGCTCAAAACGTCGGCAATATAAAAAAGGTAATATACGCGATAAAATCCGTACAAACTACTTTTACTCCTTTGTACCCGGGACTGGAGTTTGCGTATACATCAGAGAGTACATCAGTTTTTGACACCTGGACAGTCTTAAATGTATGAACCTGTCCATCCTATAGTTGCGCGTAGACAGTGACGACTATCCCCTCCTTCGGGTGCCTATATAGGTACCATAGAGGTAATTCCGACAAAGGTCGACTCATCGACTACGTCCAAATGGCTACAGACTCCGTGCTCCGTGCAGGTCTCATCCGCAGAGATCGTGACACTCGTTGATTTTAACGCTCACCGCGCAGAATGGCTTGGTTCCCGCTTAACCGATCATGTGGGTAGATCTGTTTATAACTGTGCCTTTGTAAATGGTCTAATACAACTGGTTACTTCTTCTACGCGGATTCCAGATGTAAAGTATCATGCACCTTCCTTTCTGCAGGCCTCATATCTGGACCGATATCAGGTTTCTGTTGGATGTCTTGGCTCTTTGGACCACTGCCTGATCCGGATTAGCGTGCCACTCACACTCCCGTCGCGGTTGCGTTATGCAGGTTGCCACCGTGTTTGTAACTATTAGTCAGCTGATTGGGACAGGATGCAGTCTTTTTTTGCATCCTACCCTTGGCGCGCGTTTGTTTCTCATCGGATGATCCCAACATTGTTGCTGATTCTGTCCCTGATATGGTACTTCAGTGAATGGAACTTTATATTCCATCATCTGTGGTGCCTATTGGAGGCAGAGCTCAGCCATAGTTTTGTCAATCCTGTAAAATTGTATCACACCATAAGCAGGAGTGTTACTGGGCCTGGGCTGATGCACCAACGTCTCGGCATGCAAATACCAGCGCCCTTATAAAGAAGTATAATTCAGCCTCTAGGTCCTTCAAAAGTGACAATGCCAATGCAAAGTCAGAGCTCAATGGAAGAATTAGCATGAAACTAGTTCGACTTCCTTCTGGAACACGTCCATTCTGGTTTCTCGCCAAGACTGTCCAAGGGAAATTCTGTCAGCCGTCTCTGCTATCTCTCCACAGGGAGGAGGACTCACTAACCCATGCCGCAAGGGAGACAGCCGATGTGCTAGGCTCTCGATTACGGAAAGAAAACGCCACTGACCATCCCACGGTGTGCATGGAATATGCAGGATGTGCTGTCAACACAGCACTTGGTGCGCAAAGTACTCCTCTCTCTGGACGTTAACAAGTCGAGTGGACCTGGTGGGGTCCCTCTTATTGTGTTTAAGATTTGTGCTCCAGAGTTGGCACCGGTTTTAACGCGTCTTTTCCGGTACTACTACTCCCTAAGTGTAGTCCCGTAATCGTGGAAGATAGATTTGGTTCAACCGATCCCTAAAAAAGGCGACCACTCAAACCCGTCTAACTGCAAGCTTATCGCCATCAATTCTTTATTCTCCCAAATAATGGAATCCATTATAAACTATCAATTCATGAGGTACCTTGAGGATATCAGCTAATTAGTGACCCCCAATACGATTTTCCTTTGGGTCGATTAGATGGGCAGAGGCAGTAAACTCAAAAAGGGAGGCCTTGGCGGTTAATTTGGACATATCGAAGGCCTTCAATTGAGTTTGGTACAAAGCACTTCTTTCGAAGCGTTCTTCCTATTGGCTTCCTGAAAAATTGTGTGATTGAATCGCCGGTTTTCTTGCATATCGGAACATAAAAGTCAAAGTAGACGGTGCGTGCTTCGATTACAGGCCAACTAACGCTACTGTTTGATCAAGCTTCGTGCTATCACCAACGCTGTTGAACAAGTTGCGCTGGAATATTATAGGATTATCCGAGATCCGAAGAGATGGGAAGGACACGGAAATCTTCTAATCCGGCAACTTGTTCTATCACCGGTAGGGCGAAAATTTGTCCCAAGAAATTGTCGAATTTATTGTCCACAAGTCTCTCGTTATCAAAATTGTAAAAATTGGGAGTATGTCGATGAGGATGCGTACCTTATACAGGTCATACAAATTTACACACCAACGTATCTCTTTGCGAATTTTATCGCCTTTACCCTTTTGTTGTAGACATACGATGCATTCGAACCAAACGATTTGCTTCGTTTTTCGTAATTGCGTGTACAGCAAAGGAATGAGATTATTTGCCAGTCTCTGTTATCTTTCCATTCCATTATAATCTAGGGGTCTTGAAGGCAAGAGAATCTTTTGCTAAAATAAGTCACTTTACTATCTTTGGCTACATCACCACTTACCATCAGGTGAGATAATAGTCCAGCTTGGACCTATAATAGATAAAAATTATCAACAGTATCCATTTACATATCAATGTATTTATTCTCCTTACAGGACAAAGAAAATTAGATGGAACGTTGTATTATTTCATTTCATGGAAGTAGCGGCAATTATATTTTACGGCAGCTTTTTTTGGGAGAGATTTGTTTTACGCTACTGGTCGGACTACGGGATAGAAGCGAAAGTAAGTTACTGATTTATTTATTTTTTGGATATTTCAATAAACGTAATGAAAAGATAAGTCGTTGAACATACGTAAGGTTATTCATCGCGGTTTAGAAATTATAAAATTTATTTCTTTGAAACGTTAGGTACTAAAAACTTTTACTGTAACGTAAAGTTTGTTTGATTTTTACCGAAGAAATTATGACATACGAGCATACCAATAGGGTAAAGTTATGATTAGGTCTCCGTTATCGCTAGATGAATTTAAAGTTGAGATGAGTTTAAAGCACATTCAAGTCACTTAAAGAAAAATATTGTCCTTCAAAATTATTTTTTGCTGAAACATATCCCCTAAATGGTATACGACGCCACTTAAAAAACCTAAAGAAAAACACAAAATTTTACGTAAATTTAGTATTTATGGCAGTAGGCTTGACTATGAAACTTATAAGCTGTTGCGTGAGCGTGTAAGGAAATTAGAAAAGTTAGCATACCGATCTTATTTAACCTCTGTGTAAAATTCGATAAGTACAAATCCTAAACACTTCTGTTCGTATGATGAAAAAACTTACACATGCGGTCGTATCAAACCTTGCGCATTTTAACGCATTCTTGACTGAAGCAATGGACAAACGTCAAAAAACAATGGCTTGTATCATTGACTAGATCAAATCAAGAAGTCGTAGCGGTGTTTGAGAAATATTTCACTGATATTCCTATTTTGACAACAAAGTCATCGAATAATTCTCCAACTGTCGCCGATTCATTACTCAAACAGAATGTTTAAAAGAGTTTAGATTTAAAAACGATTACAACAAGATATTGTAAAATATTTTTAAACCCTCGACGTAAAGAAAATCGCAGATTTATGGGGGATTTCCGTAACAGTTCCATAACAGTTAACAGTGGTAGAGCCACGCGGCAGCTTTGCTGTTGCACGTATGGGCCGGCTCAAACCGGGGTGGTACCACGACCTCACAGAATACCGGCGTGAAGTGGAAGCTCTGCTTCCGCGTTTCGTCTGGTGAGTGCAGGTGGCCGGAGGCCCAAATCCCCCCCCCCCCCCATCAACATGGTAGCGGAATTAAATAATGATCGACTACCCCAGGAGGGTACCAGCACCCCTGGAGAATCCCTCGCTGAGCATCCACGACCATGTTTCTCCACTTCTGAGCGTGGGTGCTCAGGCTGCCCCGCGTATTCTGGGGGGGGGGGGCAAAATTCCGCTCAAGACTACAACTGCTCGGGGCAAACGGAGCAACAAGACCAAGGCGACCCCTGCCACGCTGTCCGTGAATTTCTGCTATATCAGGGGACTTCACTCTAACCTAAACGCCGTCCACTACCATCTCGAGACGGCGAGGCCGGCTCTGCTCTTTCTGACCGAGACGCAGGTGTCCTCTCCGGCTGATGTCTCGTATCTCTCCTACCCGGGGTACAAACTAGAACACTCCTGTGTGCCTCGGGCTGGAGTTTGCGTTAACGTCAGAGAGGACATCTGCTCTCGACGCCTCGGCAGACTTGAAGGTTCGGACCTGTCCATACTTTGGCTACGCGTAGACAGCGACGACCATCCGCGCGTCTACGGGTGCCTCTATAGGTCCCATAGCGGTAATGCCGAAACAGACCGACTATTCGACCACGTCCAAATGGCTGCAGATTCGTTGCTACAGCAGATCCCCTCCGCAGAGATCGTGATCCTCGGCGACTTTAACGCCCATCACGCCGAATGGCTTGGTTCACGTTTAACCGATCATGCGGGGAGATCTGTTCATGATTTTGCCTTGGCATATGGTCTGACACAACTGGTTACTTCGCCTACGCGGATTCCAGATGTGGAGGATCATGCACCTTCCCTGTTGGACCTTCTGCTGACCTCTCACCCGGACGGATATCAGATTTCCGTCGACGCCCCTTTAGGCTCCTCGGACCATTGTCTGGTCCGGAGTGTGGTGCCACTCACGCTGAAATCGCGGTTGCATTCTGCAGGCTGCCGCCGTGTTTGGCACTATAGGTCAGCCGATTGGGATGGGATGCGGTCTTTCTTTGCATCCTACCCTTGGGGGCGGGTTTGCTTCTCGCCGGATGATCCCAACGTTGTTGCGGACTCTGTTGCTGATGTGGTACTTCAGGGTATGGAACTTTTTATTCCTTCCTCTGTGGTGCCCATTGGAGGCAAGTCTCAGCCATGGTTTGGTCGCTCCTGTAAAATAGCATCATGCTATAAGCAGGAGTGCTACCAAGCCTGGGCTGATGCATCAGCGTCCCGGGATGTAAACACCAGCGCTCTAAAAAAGAAGTATAATTCCGCCTCTAGGTCCTTCAAAAGAGTCATTGCCAAGGCAAAGTCAGAGCACATAGGCAGAATTGGCGAGAAACTAGTTCGCCTTCCTTCTGGAACCCGTGCATTCTGGTCTCTCGCCAAGGCTGTCCAGGGGAATTTCTGTCAGCCATCTCTTCCATCTCTGCACAGGGAGGACGACTCACTGGCCCATACCGCAAAGGAGAAAGCCGATCTTCTAGGCTCTTTCTTTGCGTCTAACTCGACTCTCGATGACGGGGGGAGTACTCCGCCGACCATCCCGCGGTGTGAGTGCTCCATGCCGGAAGTGCACTTCACACAGCGCTCGGTTCGCAAAGCACTCCTCTCCCTGAACATCCACAAGTCGAGTGGGCCTGACGGAATCCCCCCAATTGTGCTGAGGACGTGTGCTCCAGAGTTGGCACCGGTTTTAACGCGTCTTTTCCGGTACTCCTACTCCCTAGGCGTAGTCCTAAAATCATGGAAGACGGCTTACGTCCACCCGATCCCTAAAAAAGGCGACCGCTCTGACCCGTCCAACTACCGGCCAATCGCCATCACCTCCTTGTTCTCCAAAACAATGGAGTCCATTGTAAACTGCCAGCTCATGAGGTACCTTGAAGATCACCAGCTGATTAGTGACCGCCAATACGGTTTTCGCCGTGGTCGGTCAGCTGGTGATCTTCTGGTCTACCTAACTCACAGATGGGCGGAGGCAGTAGAGTTCAAGGGGGAGGCATTGGCCGTTAGTTTGGACATTGCGAAGGCCTTCGATCGGGTTTGGCACAAAGCGCTTCTTTCGAAGCTCCCTTCCTATGGGCTTCCCGAGAAATTGTGCGATTGGATCACCAGCTTTCTTGCAGATCGGAGCATCAAGGTCGTTGTAGACGGTGCAAGCTCCGATTGCAAGCCTATTAATGCTGGTGTTCCACAGGGCTGTGTGCTATCGCCAACGCTGTTTCTTCTGCATATCAATGACATGTTGCGTACCCGTAACATTCATTGCTATGCAGATGACAGCACTGGTGATGCTCTTTACACCGGCCGAGCCAATATTTCTCGGGAAAACGTCTCCGAGTGCCGGGACAAACTTGTGTCTGAAGTCGTGTCTCTGCTGGACAGAGTCTCGGATTGGGGGCGACTAAATCTAGTCCAGTTTAACCCCCAGAAGACACAAGTTTGCGCGTTAACCGCTAAAAAGAACCCCTTTGTCGTATCTCCTCACTTTCAAGGCACTCCCCTTGTTGCCTCAGCCAGTATCGGAATCCACGGCGTCGACATATCGAGTGACGTGCAGTTTCGTGGTCACTTGGAAGGGAAGGCCAAATTGGCCTCTAAAAAGCTTGGCGTGCTCAGCAGAGCGGGACAGTATTTCATGCCGGCACACCGCCTGCAACTTTACAAGGCGCAGGTTCGGCCGCACATGGAATACTGTTCCCATCTCTGAGCTGGGGCTCCCCAGTACCAGCTTCTTCCACTTGACCGCATCCAGCGCAGAGCGGCTCGAATCGTCGACGACCGAGTGCTTTCCGATCGGCTCGATTCACTGGCGCTGCGAAGAGATGTTGCATCTCTTTGCGTATTTTATCGCATCTATCACGGGGAGTGCTCTGAGGAATTGTTCGGATTAATCCCAGCCGCCAAATTTCGTGAACGCACTACACGTCAAACGTCCCGATACCATCCACACCATCTGGATGCTTGGCGGTCCACCACTGTACATTTCACAAGGAGTTTTTTTCCACGTACAACCTCTCTGTGGAATAGTTTACCACCAACGATTTTTCCGGACCGATACGACCTGGGGACCTTCAAGAAAAGAGCGTACTCCTTTCTAAAGGGCCGGCAACGCACCCGCAATTCTCCTGGTGTTGCGGTTGATCATGGGCGGCGGTAGTCACTTAACATCAGGTGAACCACATGCTCGTTTGCCCCTTCTTCTATAAAAAAAAAAAAACAGTTATTGCGTCCATAATATACTTAATTTCATCTTATCTTGTTTTATTTTTAATACTAGTAGCGAATCTGGCGAGTTTCCTGATTTAATGAAGCCGTAAGTGTGTTTTGGAAATTATATTTAGATACAATTTACATACTGATGAAATACGAATAATATTTTTTGATCGTAGCGACATAATAGAAAAACTGAACTGGTTATTTGAATAAAAAATCATGAGTGCAATTAGTTTAATTTAAATTTTCATGTTTTTAAAAAATACTAAAAAAAGGGCACGAAAAAATAGATTTTCTTAAAAAAGAAAGGAACTTGAAAAAAAAATAAAAAAAGTCGGTCGGTCGGTCTGGGCTCGAACCATGGTATTACGATTTTGTGACCGCCCAATATACCAATTAAGCTATTTGTAATCATTAATAAACTGTCAAAATTTACATTCTTATTCTAACGATATTGTAGCAGTTTTTCATTGCCTAAAAACACGGACAAAAAGACATTTTCTAAAAATAAATCCTAGCTAGATCGATTTATTGCCCCCGAAACTCCCTGCACACAAAATTTTATGAAAATCGTTGGAGCCGTTTCCGAGATTCCGAATATATATATATATATATATATATACAAGAATTGCTCGTTTAAAGGTATGAAGCATATTAAAGTAATACCTTTATTTAAATCTGGTATTACATTGGACCCCGCTAATTTTAGACCTATTTTTGTACTACCGACTGTCAGTAAAAATTTTGAAAAGATAATTTTAGAT